CCACCGCCTTTGATTGAAGTAATACAAAAGAAGAGTGCGACATTTACTTGTTAACTCAACTTGGTAAAACTGTTGGCTTAAGAAAAAGGGAAAAAGATCTTTAAAGAAGTTCAAAGGAGATTCGAAACTCTTCACCGGAAATTGGTACATAGAAAATGGCGAAGAGAAACTTCAATGACGCCGAAAATAAGGTCGCGTGAACATGCAAAAAAAAAGAATAAAATAAAATGAGAAAATGCTTTTTTTGTCTCAGCGGGCTTTCTTTGTCAACCCTCTTCCAATTTCACTATATAGAATATATTCTGACACCTTACACGTGACTTTTAAACGTCTCAGAAAAAAATGTCCGTCCTTGAGTTGCGAACGTAACTCCCGTATTTATGTGTATACAAGAACCAGTAGGCAATCAAAGAGAAAAGAAGATACATAGTGTTTGAAGGGTGGCTATTTGGGGGCCACCCTGCTGGCCGAGACTAGTGGCGGTCCGTTTTATCCCCGTCACAGGACATACATAGATCACCGGGTGTCATTCTGTTTACCACAAACGTCCAAACATCGAGCGACTTTGGATCTATTAAGTCGACCCAAAAAGAGCCAAGTTTTCTAAATCGAAAAGATAGAGGTGACAAGGGCGCTCGCAGGTAGACCAGTGTCGGTTCCGAATGACTTTTCGGGGGATACCATTCATGCCATTGATGTGAAACCGCTTTTCGGGGGCGTGCCATTGGGACTTGATTTTTCAACTCAGGTCATCGAATAAGCTCACAAGCTTCCTTATATCCTTCGAGGTCCGATCGTATCTCGCGGCAACGTAACATCCGAGCCTTGATCTGCCGACTTTGACCTTCTATCGACTTTTTTATTTCTACTTTACTTCCATCTTCTTCTCTTTTTCGAAAGTCATCTTTTCCGATGTACTCTTCTTTATTTTTCTTCTTCTTCTCTTTCTATTTTTCTTCATCTTCTTCACTTTCTTCTCCTTTTCCTTTTTATTTCTCTTCACCTTCCACTTTTTCTTCTCCTTTTCCTTATCATTCTTCTTCATCTTCTTTTCCTTCTTTTTCTTGTCTTTTTATTCTTCTTGTTATTTTTCTTCATCTTCCTTTATTTCTTCTTCTATTCCTTCTTCTTCCTCTTGTTCTTCCTTTTTTCCTTCTTTTTCTTATCTTTTCATTCTTCTTGTTATTTTTCTTCATCTTCTTCTCTTCCTTTTCCTTCTAATTTTTTTTCATCTTCCTTTATTTCTTCTTCTATTACTTCCTCTTTCTCTTGTTCTTCTTTTTTTCCTTCTTTTTCTTATATCTTTTTATTCTTCTTGTTATTTTTCTTCATCTTTCTTTATTTCTTCTTCTTTTTCTTATGTTTTTATTCTTCTTGTTATTTTTCTTCTTCTCCTTTATTTTCTCCTTCTTTTCTTTGGTTGGCACAGGTCAGGAAATTAGGAAGAATTAAATTGTTCAGAAAAATCAGGGAAATGTCAGTAAATTTTATTCAAAATAGAATAAGAATATCTAATTTCTAGAATTACTAACAAAAAATTATGGTTTTTGATGCTCAAAAGTATTTTTTTAAAAGTAAAAAACTTTTATTTCTCCTTGATTTTTTTTTCGCTTATCAAATTTTTAAATCACAATAAGTTTTAAAATAATATACCTTGATTTATCTTATTTCCGTAAATAATTAAATTTATTTTAAATAATAAAATTCTAGAATAATTTTTTTAAACTTATTAATTATAATTTACTTAATCATTATTTTAGTTAAAAACTGTTGCAATTTTCAGAAATAATTAAATCTTAAAAGGATTTTAAAATAAAAATTTTTTAAATTTTAATTTCTATGAAGAAATTATTTATAATTAATTAATTAATTATATTTAAAAAAATTATTTAAGTTTTAAATAATTCTATCTAAAATTCTGAAAATATTACGTTCCAAAAAAAATATAATTCAATTTTTTAAAGGTACTCGAATTTTATAGACGAACATTATTACAATATTTTATAAAAGAATTACCAACTAAATTAAATTCGTTAAAAGATTTTACTAAACATTTTTAAAGAATCATATTTTGAAAATATTTGAATTTAATAATTATTCATAGCAAATTTTATTTTACAAAATATGAAATTTGTTGTCAATTATTAAATTAAATTTTTTTGAAAATTTAATTGTTTTAAAATATCTAATGAAATTCTTTTAGGCCATTTGAACCAGACGTCATAATGATTCAAGTACCCTTAACAAATTTAAATAATTACAATTCAATTCTCAAAATTTAAGTATTTTAAAAAAAATTAGAAAAAAATAACAAACATATTATGTTTGTTAGTGTAAAAAGCTAGCAGCAATATAGAAACATAATTGCATCTTAAATAATTGAATGTTGAAAGAGTTATATAATTAATTAATTAATTTTAAAAAGATTGGAATTAAAAATTGTATTTAAAAATTTAAGTTTCGACAAATTTTATTCAAAATTCTGAAGACTTAGGCTTTTAAATTATTTTAATACTATTTTTTATGCAGATTATTGAACTTTTATGAACAAGTAATTGGAGCTTTTTAAAATAATTAAAATTCCAAGATTTCAATTAAAAATAATTGAATTTTTTAATAATTGTACAGTGAAACCTGATGCAACTCGATTTTTTTATTACAGTAAACAATCCTTAAAAAATTGTTTAATAAAATTTAATTTTGTAATATTTTTAGAAAATTCTGGAACTAAGCAAAAATAATTCTTGTTTGTCATTTGTAAATGCAAAAAAATTTTTTAAATATAATTGCATTCCGACAGTTTTGACTGTACTATAAAATTTTTGAAAATAATCAAATAATAAATAGTACAAAATCTTGAAATTCTAAATTTAATTGTTGATTCTAAAAATTATTTATTATTTTTATAATTGAACTCTTCCGGATTATATTATAGCAGGGCTCAAACCAGTCAAAGTATTACGGACCAATTACTAACAAAAATTTAACCACTCCGAGTCAAATAAAAGAACATTTTACTTAAAACTATAAATTAAATTTTTCATAATAACTATAGGTACATTAAAACATGAAAAAATCAATCACTCCGAGTCTTTATCAAAATAATTGAATTCCTAATAAGAATTTTATTATTTACCAAAATAATTGAATCCCTGTAAAAATTTGATTATTTATGAAAATAATTGAATCTCTGTAAAACATTTAATTATTCATGAAAAGAATTGAATTCTTACGAAGAAATTTATAAAAAAATTTGTAAATAATGAAATTCCTATGAAATTTTTATTAGTTTTAGAAAATAATTGAAGGTTTATGTAGAATTTTATTAAATTTTTTTTTAAATAATTGAATTCTCTTCGAAAATTTTATTTAAATAGTAGATTTTGAAAATCATTGAATTCAGGAAAATTTTTGAAAATAATTGAAATTTTGTCAAGAATTTTAATAAAATTTTTGAAAATAATTGACTTTTGGAGAAGAATTTAATTATTTCTAAAGATATAATTAAAATTTTGACGAGAATTTTTAAAAAAATTTGAACATAATTGAATTTTTGCGAAGAATTTTATTACTTTTGAAAATAATTGAATTCCTAGAATCATTTGAAATTTCTCTAAAATTATCCAAATTATATGAATTTACGGACTTTACGGAACTTTTTTCAAAAAAACGGACTTTTACGGACTTCAAGCATATATAGTTACGGACTTTTATGGGATTTACAGACCTAATTAGTCCGAGCCCTGTTATAGGGATCAGGGAAAACTTAAAAATTTTATTTAGAAATCAGGGAAAGTCAGAGAAAAACAAAATTTTAATTTTTGGCAACCCTGTTCTTCTTATTCTTTCTTAAATCTTCTTTTCCTCCTTTTTTTATTCTTCTTCATGTTCATTTTCTTCAGCTCCTTTTTCCTCTTCTTTTTCTTGTTCACCTCTTCTTCTCCTCCTTTTTCTCCTTCTTATTTTATTTCTTCTTCTTCATCATCATCATCTCCGTACCCCATGGCACCTACACACGTTTTCTTCGGTCCATTAGTCGGCAACGTCTCATTCTTAAATGGCTTCCTCAGGTTCTCTCGACAGCTCGTCGATAAGACACTCCATACGAGAGGAGGACATTACAAATATATGTCTCGTCTACGATTATATATAGACAAAGAGGACATCGCTCGTACAATTGATTCGTGTCCTTGGATCAAGATAAATTAGAATGTCAGTCCAATTACGAATAGAAATTTTTTTTATATCTCCACCATTTTTTATCTAATGGTCACAGCATCCTTGACTCCAGAGTGGTGGGGAGAATATATGTTACACAGAATTCGTTGCGGCTAATAGCTTTTGGAACGGAAATTGGTAGTGTATATTGAGATAAGTTAATGTCGTCGTTGGTTGTTGAATTCAAAAAATGTTCTTTAGACTGCTGTACCCTATACTCAAATGCAGATCGAGAAGAGAAAAAGAAATGTTCTCCTTCAAGGGCAAATTCTTTTCGAGGTATACAAATTCTTCTCTCAAGTGATGAACACCAAATTGGTCTTGCATTTTGAATAAACAGGGGAAATGGGAATAAAGTAACTTTTACTGTATTTATACAGTAGAAAATGTGTCTTATTTTAAGCTCAATTTTGGCTAGGACGATTTACAAATATTGTTTTTTTCAATATTTTTTGCTCTGAAATATTTTTAATACCTTAAAATATTCGAAAGCAGAAAGTACCTATACGTATACATTTATGTTGATAACTCTCTTGAATATCGTCAAGTATCCTCGAATTATATCGAAACGAACCTCGAGATAGTTAACACACATTATAAATAATTCTATCCAATGTTCCGGAATATCTTTAAACCAATTCTGAACTATACTTTTTGAAATTAATCCAAATTATCTCCAATCTCCTTCGTTACCTTTTTTGTTGTTGTATATACTATTAGCCATAACAATAACACGTGCATGTGTGAAATACCTTTTCTCTAACAAAAATTTAAAATTCATTTTATTTTTCCCCAAAATTAGCATTATTATTCTCCATCTGCTTATTATACTCAAGCGATTTGCCTTTGATTTCTGGAATTATGGAAAATACGAGCAGTGACGTAAGAAAGGATATTGTTGCGTAAGCCAAGAAAGGTGAATGATCGCCAAAATTTTCTCTCAATATAAAATAGGCTAGAGTACCAATAAAACCGAAAATTGATCCTAAAATTGAACCAAATGTCATTGCAGTTCGATTAATATTTGGAGGAAAAAGTTCACCTTGGAGTAAATTTGTTATTGGCGCTACGCCCAGTGTGTAAACGATTCCAAATAAAATTAGAGAAACCAGAGGAAGCCATGTTAAAGTCGACAAGTCAATTTGATGAAAATAATTTTTCACTAAAAAGAAAATTCCAAGCGTTGTGAGTGATAGGATTTGTAATAATGCTGTTGATAGAAATAAAATTTTCTCTTTCACTCGTTCAATTATGAAAATTTCCACAATACCTGCAGACAATTGAAAGAAGCTAAAAACCATAAAACCATACTTGGAATTTAGGGGGCAATTCGATTCGTTCAATATTTGTTCCAAGTATCCGTAAATAGAGTGAATCCCCGTCATTTGATGTGTTAATTCCAATACAACAAGAATCATCAAACTCCTTCGGTACTGAATGTTCCGGAATAATTCTTTAAATGATTCTCTTCTATTTTTCTCATCTTCCATAATGACGGCTTTTATTTTTAAAATATCGGACTCGACTTTCTTCATTTGGATATCAGTTTTAAATTTTTTCAAACACTTGATGGCCTTATCGTCCTTGTTATTGAGAAAGTAGAAATATGGACTCTCCGGTAGGATGCAATGGGTCAAACAAATTAAAACGACCGTTATGAGAATTGTTAGGATCAGTGTCGTGTAGGAGACGAAGGATGCGAGCAGTGAGAAGAGGAACATACCACCTTTGTCAATTAGCAGGATAATGATTATAAATTCTTTGCAATTGTCAAAAATTTCTGTTAGGTAAATTATGATAGAACCGGTGAATATCGCTTGGGATGTGCCACCCAAGAGTCGTGCTACACACAAACAAATGTAGGAGTCGAATAAAAGGATTAGAAATAAACCCATTAGGCCGATAATAATTGAAAGGGTTATTGAATATTTTCGACCGATTTGGTTGAGAAAGAGAGGAGTTAATATGTGACCGATGGTTTCGCCTAGTAGGTAAATAGACACCATCCAAGCTGTTTGACTTTCTGTGATTCGAATAGGTGATTCTGTGCTTGTTAAGTAGGGTAATGAGGAGGTAGTCCAAACTTGATAGCCACTGAATTGCAGACCTCCGAGACAAGCTGTAACATATAAACGAACACAAGGGAATCTATATACTGAAAAAAATTAAGTCGAAAAATTCAACAAACATTATGTTGTTGAGAGGAAAGTAGTTAAATTAATTAGTTTTTAGTTATGCTAACAATGTTTGCGTAGTTAATTTTACTATTTTTGGTAGTGAATACAACTTTTTAAATTCAGTTGAGGACTTATTGAATTATTGGGAGTAGTTGAAAGGCAATATTAATAATAATAATAATAATAATAATTAACTATAATAATCTTCGTATTTCATTCTTTTATTCTGCGTCTGTCCGCACACTTTGAAGTTAGTTTTTGTGTATCCTTTTTATTTGTTTTTTTTCTTTAATAAATATTGTTTGACAGATCGAAAAAATGCAGGTGGTATTTTTTCATGATTTATAATAAAATAATATTTGAAATTAGAAAATATTATAAAAATAAATAAATTTTGTTTATTATATGCTTTTTTCTATAACAAATTTCGTTTGACTGATCTAAATTATACAAATTTTTCTCCTTTTTATTTATAAAAAATATGAGAAAATTGTTAATTGTTAAAAAATTATAATTAAGAAATAGGAAATATACCCATTTCATGCATAATTTATATTTCTCAATAACAATATTGTTCAGAAACTCGTTCTTTTTTTGGAGAAGAAACATTACATATTCTATTCTATATTTGTCAATTACAAATTTTAATTGAAAATGAAATTGAAACTTTTTAAATTTTTAGAAAATAGAGGAAAAAATTTTACTCAAAAAAATGTTCTGTTACATTTATTTACGAATTTCTTAAATTGTAAAATTATTCGAAAACATCAATAACTTTTTTTTTAATAAATATTTAATCAATATTATTTTTCCATTGCAATTAAGAATTTCAAAAATTTCAAATTCATATCTTTTTAAATTCAATAACTTATAATAATTAAAGGTGACCGAGTGATAAAATCATTTTTTTATATTATAAGAATATTATTACAGTAACTTTATGAAAATAATTGAATATGCTTTAAAAAAATTTATTATTTATAAAAATAATTGAATTATTGCGAAGGAATTTGTAAAAAAATTTGTAAATAATTGAATAATTGAATTTTATCACTCTTGAAAATAATTGAATTTTTGCAATTATTTGTAATTTTTCCAAAATTGGATTTTTTTAGTGTTTTCAACAAAAATGTGAATTACAAATTTTTAAATTCTATTATTTTTAAAATTGCTAATTTTACCCTAAAAATAATTATTCAAATTTCTGTAAACCTAATATTTATTAGAATTCGTGTAGAAATTCTATTAAATTATTCTCTAGTGACATTCTATTGAATGCTCACTAGAATTTATTGTTAGTAAAATCTCCGCTAATTTTTTGCTTCGTTAATTTTAGCAAAAAAACTAATAATTATTAGTAGAAAATAACTCATTATTAGTTCATAAATATTAACAAAATCGTTAAATTTGCCAAAATCAATTATTTGGCAATAATTTGAGTTATAATTTTGACGTAACCTAAAAATAAATTTAACTAATAATTGGTTCGTTATTAATTATAGTGAATAAAATAGAAAAAATTATTAATCAAGAAATTATTAATTAAGATAGAAGAAAATATTTATCAAGAAATCATTAAGATAAATAAAATTAACTAATTTCCTTAATTTTTCAATTTATTAAATACCTAATCAATTATTATTTAAAGTAAATTCTAAAAATTTTATTTAAAAAAACTCACCGCAAATTCCAACTGTATAGTGATAAAATTGATTTGTATATTCCACTGGAATTTGTGAGGAAACATTGTCCTTGGCGTTTAATTTTCTCGGATATATTTTACTTTTTAGAAATAGTTCGAAATTTTTGATCGATATCTTCATACTTTGTAGTAGTAAAAATAATTTTGAATATTTTATTGAGAATAAATATTCCGCTCGAATAATAGGTTTTTACTATTATACTTTTGTAAAACACGTGCGTCACAACAATAACAAATTACGCAAGAATGTATTATATTTAACGCTACGTTGTTTCATTTATCTAAAAATGCATTATTGTTAAAATTGATAGTGCGCTGAATAGCCACAAGAAACATAACGTTCAGTCAATAACTATTAGTTTTACACTTAAGTCTATTTATATAATATAAATACAACTTAGTAATTTTTTAAATTATTGCAATAGATTTAGGAATTATAATTTGTAAACTTTGAAATTTATTTAAAAGAATTAAAATTAACCCAAAAAAATCGAAATTAAAAAAATTTTAAACTGATTGAAATTAGATAATAGCAAAATATTATGGACGGAACAAATAAATATTGTTGTTTTTTATGTGTTTAATAATTAGAGGTACTTCTTTTATTATTTAAAAGTAGTAAAGTAGTAAAAGTTTTTATTATTTTAAAAGTATTGAAACTCGATTTTTAAAGTTTCTTTTTTAAACAAAAAAAAGTATAGAACTATTCACGTAGGTTTTTGTGCATAAAATGTTAACGCTATTTCTCTAATTTATTCGAGGAGTGGTAAAACACGTATCGCACGAATATATCTATAATAGGTCTTTTGGATATACAATCATGCACTCATTCGTTAAGACAAATCAATTTAGCAAGGACTCTAAATTACTTTTAACAACTTAACTTTTTATCGTGCGTAAAGAGAAAATAGATACAGAAACTATGAAGGAAAAAAAGAGCAAAAAAAAGTCTATAAACGAATCGCGCAGAAGACGTTCGTTTTTTTTAAATTCTTTTTCTATACCGGATATTACGAGAAGCAATCGAAACGTTCGACACGCCAAGGGATTTTATAGTAAATTAGAAAGCCAAGAGCTATTTCAAATATAATTTAGATCCTCCAGGAAGAAGGATATATAATCACGAAACATTTAAGAAAATTTATTGAAACGAAGAAACTATTAAGGGGAAAAAATTATTTGAAATTATCTCTGAAAAATTTTAGTTGGAGCTTCTAATGATTGGAGTTATATATGTATAGTTTATCTGCTAGGTCCACCATTTTAGATTCTACTATATATATTATTCTACCATTGATTCAAGTTACTATATATATATAATATGAACCAGTTTACTATTAATTGAAACTATGCTCTCTAAATCTAAAATTTGTTACAACTTATTAATTGTTAGTAAAATATTGGCTGAATTTTTGATTCATCGATTAGTAAATAAATAAAAAATCACTGATTACTAGTAAAAACTGACTAATTATTAGTATACAAAATAGGTAATTAATAGTAGTATAAAATAACTAATTATTAGTAGAAAGTAGATAATTATCAGTAAAAAATAACTAAGTATTAAAAAACAACTGATTATTAGTAGAAAATAAATAACTAATTATTAATAAACTCTAAATTTGAATCAGTTAAAAATACCTAATTTGGAAGCAAAAAGTCAGTCACTGATTGAAATACAAATATTTATAATATTATAGTAAATTATAATATTATAAAATTAAAAAATTATAAATTATAATATTATATAATTAACTGTATTATTGTATAATAAAAATAATACTGTTCATTTATTGTTAAAAACAACTGATATTTCAGTAGTTTTTTTAAACTAATTCAATTAGTCAAATTTTATTAAATTTTCTGTTATTTTTTTTTATTTAAAATCAATCATTTTTTCACTAACAATCAGATATTTTTTTAACTGATTGCATAAGCAAAAAACAGTCACTGATTGTCAGTTAAACTGTGATTGTGATAGCTAATTAGTAGTAAAAAAATAAATAATTATCGGTTGCAAAAAACTAATTTATGTCAGAATATATATAGCTAATTATCTGTAGAAACTAACTAATCAGGAAAAAATAACTATAATTATTATAGTAGAAATTAAGTAATTATTGTAAAATAAATAATTAATTATTAGTAGAAATGATGTAATTATTAGAAAATAAATAACTAATATTATTAGTATAGAATATCTGCTGTTACAAATAAATATGCGAAAATATAGTCAAATTTTATTTATTGAATTCGTTACCTAAAAATTTAGTTATTTTGACATAATCATAAAAAGTGAATCTAAGTAATAATTAGTTATTAATGACTATCTGATTAGTAGAAACATTACTAATAAAATCAATAACTGGCTTTTACTATGAAATAAGGAATGTTTATCTAATTCAAATTTATATTACTAATTGATTGCTGAACATGAAATTTTTTTCTGTATAACTATATATTTATATTATAGATGAATTTGAATATTAAAATTTGTATTAATTAATTTCAAATATAATTAAATATTAAATAAGAAATTAAACCTGTTTGAATTTAAACAATATGTAAAAACTAATTAAAAGTATTCTCTAAATTTAAATTAGTTAAAAATAACTACATAATTTTAAAGCAAAAAGTCATCCACGATTTTACTAATAATTAGTTCTTTTTAAGTAATTAAGATTTAGAGAGTAAATAATTGTTTCAATTCTTCAGTTATAAATTATAATTTAATGAAAATAATTATTAAATTATTGCAATTTATTATTTGTTAATTAATATCCAATAGAGTTCCTGTAAGCTTATTGGTTTTTTTATTAGTGTGGGTCGTGAAATGTTATCGTTTTATTATTTTATTCTCTACTGCTGCAGTTGTTGAAGCAGCATGAATACATAATTATTAATTATATGCAGCCTAGTTTAGATCCTTTTTTCCGAAAGTAATATGTTTATGCATAAATATCACAATATTCTAATTGCACCAGTCGTTTTGCCTCCTCAACATTTACCTGAAGTAGTCGCAGCGATAGCACACTTTAATCTATATATGTTTTATAAAATACATACTTATATATGTAGGTATACTCGCTAATAGATGCATTTCGCAGTTATCTCTTGTTATAAGTGCCTTGAACAATTAATTGTGATTTGTTGTCATGAACAAGTATGTCATATCATACATTACGATGAAAGTGGCAATGGAATCCATGTCTTGGAAAGTTAATTTTTATTATGACATTT